GGGCCGCGCGGGCAGGCGCGCGCGCTGCCTTCCGACTCGCGGCCCGGGCCCCGCGCGGAGCGCCCAGGCCCGGCGAGCCCCTGGGAGCGAAGAGGCGCCGCCAGCCACCCCCGCAGGCGGGAGCCTCCTCTTCTCCGCGCTCCTGCCGCCCACCGATCTTTTAGGAACTCTGACACTGACTTGGAAGAGAGCCTGGGCTCATTAGTGACCGGAGACCCGGCCCCTGGCCCTGACTGCCTTGGCCACGCAGTGTCTCCAGGCCACGGTTCTTTTCTTCTCTGAAATGGAGAATGGCAGTGTCCACCCAACCTGCACCCTGGGGGTCGCAGGGTAGGCACCTATGCTCAACCCGGCAGTCCGTAGACTCATTTGGGAAGCCTTGCACATGCTCAGGCCCCAGAATCACCAGGTGGTTGTGATATGCAGCCAGGACTGAGAACCACTGACCCAGAGGGGCACAGTGTTGTCGTGAGCTGTGTTCTCGACGAAAGGTGTACGATCCTAGGTGGATCGTAGTCTTGAGAAAGCTAGAACTGTTTTTCTGTTCAAGACGATAAAGACCAAATCTGGTTTGGTTACTTTTAATAACTAGTGCCTAGAATGGTACATGTCGCAAAACATGCACCATTGATTAAATAAATAAATTTCTGATTACTTCCTGACCTAGTGGAGGGGTTTTGATTACCCCTAGGCACTAATGGAGGAGTTTGTTATTATTTCATTTGTAACTTTTTATTATGGAAGCTTTCAAACACAGAGGAAAATAAGGTAGTGTCCTGCATTCCTAAATCATGATCAATCTTGTTTTATCTGTTACCCGCCCCACCCCTCCCCCACTGGATTACTTGAAGCAAATCTAAATGTACCATTTCATCCGTTAAATAGCTATGTTTTTAAAACACAACTCATGTTTTAAACAGAAATTGAGTAGCAGTCTAATAAGCATTTCATGTTATTTTCTAACCAGTCCGCATTTACACTTTATCATTTTCCCAAATCTCTTTTTTTCTTCCTATTACCAGTTTCTTCAAATCAGGATCCAAACATCTCTTGATCCCCTCCCACTTTATTCCAATCCCCAACTCTCCCCTCCTTCCCCCATCCTGTCCGGTGCTTGTTGACCAAATCAAGTCATTTGTCCTGGAAAGTTTTCTACATACTGGATTTGGCTTTTTTCCTCCTGCTGAGTCCTTTAACAGCTTTAAAAGATTCAGGTTGAACTTTTTGGCAAGAAAACCTAAAAGGGTTTCTATGCCCTTCATATTGTCTCGCATCAGGAATTAGATAAGGTCTTGTCTGTCTCGAAGTGTTAAGGTTGGTCAATGGACCTCTTCTGTACAAATTGCACCACAGGGTAACTAAATAATTGACCTGGGAATTACAGAAGGATGCCAGCTAATTACTGCAGGAGGAATGAGAAAATACCACCTTTTGGCAATGTCTAATGAAATAATGGATCCTGGCAACGATCGTTAGTGGCTGTTTACATCAGAAAGAGACAGCCAGACAGCGCGTGCTTCCTGATGGAAGTACCCGGTACCTCTTATCCAGTGTTCTTGGATGATGGGTGGGAGACAGACGAAATAAGGTTGGCCTTGGGTGTTGATAATTACTGAAGCTCAGTGATGGGTATGTGGCAATACAGTGTACTAATCTCTACTTTTGTATGTGTCTGACATTTTTCATAATATAAAGGGTTTTTTTTTTTTTAAGATTGACCAGTTGATTAGTGAGTTTGAGTCAGCCTGATCTATCCATTGTAGTTCAGTTTTCCATTATCCTTTCACTAAGTGGTTCTCCAATCTGACTGCATATTAGAATCCCAGAGGAAGATTTTTTTTTTTAGTATACTAAAACACATGTCTCACTAGCAGAATTTCCTGTTTAATTGTTCTGGGATGGAGCCCAATCATTGATATGTTTTAAAAGCTGATTCTAATATGCTCCAGGGTTACATACCACTAGCCTAGATCCATTATTTGTTAGGGATTGCAAAGTAACTATATCCTATAATTCCTTCTGCATTTATTAGTTTTTAATATTTTTAATTTTCTTTTTGTTTATTCTCATTTATCTTGCAAACTGCAATCCCATAAGAAACTTCTGCAGATTAAACTACTTAATTATCAAAGGAAGGTTTGATATTGAGTGAAAATGTGGAGTAACACATGTAAGGACACTAGCAGTAACCTAAAGGCTTGTGCGTGCAGTGGGGAGATGTACCCTGTGTGCATTCAAGGTGTGTGTAAGGGGCGAGGGGCGGGGAGCCGACTGCATCCCCAGTGGAAAGGAAGATTCAGTGAATTGTAGTAATAGTTAGAAAAGCATGTTCAACCTTATGCCACATTTTAAAAAGTTGCCAATGTTAAAGAAATATATAATTAAATAAATGCTGTTTTTTGCAACCACAAAACATTTCAAAGTTTAAAAGAAAAAATAGCCCCCTTCCCACCATTTTAATTACCTGTGAGATAGCCAGTGTTGACAATATGCTGTGTCTCTTACACACCAGACTTTCTCTGTCTCATATAAATTCAGGGGCTTTGGACACTTATCAAGATGAGATCGTGCCATAGCCATCTGCAACTTTTCTCACTGTCTTCCCTCCAGGACAAGAGTTACAGACCTGACTTAGCCACAGAATAAGTAGTTCATGGTATGAATGTATAGTAAAATATTCATTTGTTTTCCTATTGTTTTTTTTCAGATTGCTTCCAAATTTTAGCCACCTTAAAACTACCACAGTAAACATTGTTGTGCATAATAGATCCTTTATTTCTGTAGGGTAAGTTCCTAAAAATGGGACTGCTGGATTAAAGTGTGTTGTTATTAGCAGCATCGTTATTATTGGTAATATATATTGCCAGATTACTCTCCCAAAATTTAATAGCAATTCATACCTCCATCATTAGTAACATATGAGTATCCATTTTCTCTTGTTCTGGTTAGCACTGGTTTTCGTTAATATTTGCCAGCCGATGTGTGGAAAATTGTGTTTGTTTCTTCAATTTGCATTTACTCTAACTGCCTACAGGCTGAGCACTTCTCATGCTCATTGGACATTTGGATTCTTCACTGAATTTCTTGTATATTCCCATTTTTCTGTTATATCAGGGGTTTTGTTTTTTTGGTATTATGAATTCATTTGCATGAATTTGTTTTTAGGGCTATTAACTCTTTCTCATACAGTGTAAACAGTTTTCTCCAGGTGTGTTTTTGGTCCTTTGACTTTGAGTCTTGATATATGAAAATTTGTATGTAGTGAAAATGTAGTCTATTTGTATGTAGTGAAAATGTAGTCTATTTTTTAAAATTTATGGGGTTCCTGTCTTGCTAATAAGGTAATAATTCCCAAACGCCAAATTATTTTTCAAACAGATTTTAATGTATTTTAATCTCTTAACATTTTAAACATATTTTATTGGACCTTTTACATTAAATTTATAAACAATGTGGAATGTATTTTTATATACAATGCAAAGTGAGAACATTGCTTTACTTTTTTTCTAAAAAAATAGCCAATTATGTCACTGCTGTTCATTAAATGTTACCCTTTTTACATTTTGTTATATATTGATTCCCATAAATACCCAGATTTATTTCTAGACTATCCCTTGTCTTTCACCTTTATTTTTTTGTACCAATATTATTGTCTTAATTATACCCAATTAGTGTAATAAGTGTAATATCTAGAAAGGTAAGTTACTACTTACTACTTTATATCATTTTCTTGCCCATTCTCACTTATTTGTTTATAAGATTCCTTTTTTTTAAAGATTTTATTTATTTATTTTGAGACAGAGGGGAAGGGAGAGAGAAAGCAAGGGAGAGAAACATCAATGTATGGTTGTGTCTCACAAGCCCCCCACTGGGGACCTGGCCTGCAACCCAGCATGTGCCCTAGACTGGGAATCAAACTGGCGACTCTTTGGTTCGCAGGCTGGCACTCAGTCCACTGGGCCACAGCAGCCAGAATCAGACAGTTTTTTTTTTCTTCCATCTTTTGGTTGCTTTTTTGTTCCAAGATAACTCTCACTGGAAATGTCATAGAATTTGCATGCATTAAGTGTATCTATATTGATTATGATATGAACATTTTTCTTATCTTAGTATTTTTTATTAAAATGACTTATTTTTGTTTTTCACCCAGCCCTAGTGTGGATAATCTGTAATTGTTAGTGTGTAAGTTTGCGTTGGTTCTCATGTATTCTATTTGCTGCACTTTCTCACTGTGGAAATATATTGGACATAGCAGATGTTCCCTGAAACAGAGAAGGGAAAGAGAGGTACCAGGAGTTGGCAGAAATCTACACACTCCCTGGGTTATGGCTGATCACTTATAACAGCAGAAACCCGAGTCCTAACCAGTGACAGAGCCTGCCATTTGGGGGAGTGAAGCGTTCACTTGGCATTACTGCAGGCTGCGGAGCATTGCCGTACGGATCTCAGAACCCCACCTGGAGTGGTTATTGCTGTTTAGTGTTTGTTAGAAGGACTTAAAAAAAACAGTAATGCTTGGAAAGTCCAGAGTTCCTGTGTACTCCCTCACCCCTTTGCCCCATTGTTAACATCTTTCCACAGTGTGGTATCTTTGTTAGGGTTGATGAGTCAATATTGATATATTATTAACTCAAATATACAGTAGGATTCATTCACTCTTTGTGTTGTACATTCTGTGGGTTTGGACCAGTGTATAATGATGTATCTATCTCTACTGCACATGCAGAATAGTTTCACTGCCCTAAATAACAGTAAATCTCTCAGCAACCTGTTTTTGGTGATTTTGAGCAGTAATGTGAAATAATCCCTAGGTGATTTTCCATTGCAGGGTAGAAGATGTCTATGGATGTGACGTTTCTGGGGACAGGCGCAGCATACCCGTCCCCGACCCGCGGTGCCTCTGCTCTGGTTCTTCGGTGTGAGGGCGAGTGCTGGCTCTTTGACTGTGGAGAGGGAACCCAGACACAGCTCATGAAAAGCCAACTTAAAGCAGGTTAGTGTCCATTCAGCTCTCTCCTTAAGACCATCTCTTGTTCTTCAATTCCTTGGTTTTCCTTGGGTTTCTTCTGTAGCTGCTCTGGTAGCTGCATCTCACTTCAGTACTAGAATCCTGGCAAGACTCGGAAGGCCCTCAGGCCTCTGGAACACCCACTGACCCTTATTCGTTCATTTATTTGCTTTGCCTTCGTCCTGTAAGTTTTAAGAGCAAAGATTGATAGAGGCTGAGAGAAGAAGACAGAGTGAGGTACATCAGGCACAGCGGAAGGACACTGTCCAAGCCAAGGAACGGTGTCTGTACACACTCATGTCCCCCCGGAGAGGTGAGTGTCATGGGAGAATGCAAAGGGCAGTGGATAGTGTTCAGAGGAGGGGGTTCTCTTTTCCAGGTGGTCATCAGGGTAGGCATCTCAGATGACTTGCTGAAGGAAGAGAAGGGGTGCCCTGGGCTGGGGAGGAGGGCATTTCAGCCAAAGCAAGTGGAGTGGGCATAGGCGGAGTGGCAGGGAGACTGAGGGGCACAGTGATGGAAGGCCTTAGGCCAGAGGCAGGCAGACCTGGGTTCCAGTCCCAACTGTGTCTCGGCCTGTGACCTCAGCAGATCAGCACACTTGAACTTTACTTTCCTCATCTTGAAAATGGGGGTAAAAACTCAACTTACAGGCATGTCATGGGCATTTCATATAATAATCCCTTCTCTGTGTGGCTGTGTCCTTCTCATCAGTTACCTCTCAGCTCAAATGCTGTTTCCTCAGAAACTTTTCCTGAACCCGGGTTAAGCAGTCCCCCCTCACACCAGATGTTCTACAGCTTCGTCCTATTTTACTACCTTTTTAGCATCATCAGTATCTCAAATGGTGTTATTTAAATAGTGGTTTTTATGTGCACTGTCTCCCTACACTAAACTCAGCAATCAGTTGTGTGCTCAGTAGATGCCTGGAAAATATCTGTTCAGTAAATGCATGAATAACACATTCAGCACCCAGTGTTATGCCTCTCTCTCTTACTGGGTCTTGACAAGTGGTGGTTATTGAAGCTATCGTTTCTCTGACTCAGCACACTGCGTGGCATTTGATGACTGAAGAAAGCTAGTTCTAGCATCTTAGGATCTCTGGGTGTGTGGTGGAAACAGACATGCAAACAGTCATAATGTGCTATGATAAGTAGAATAATGGAGGTGTTTTCTAAGTAGTTTGGAGTGTGAAAGAGAGGGACACTATCTAAATCTATGTGTTCAGAGAAAGCATTCCAGAGATGGTAACAGTTGAGCTAGGATCTAAGAGATGGGTAAAAGTTTCTCTAGGGAGAGAAGTAGGGCTGGACATTAAAGGAACAGAGATCAGACTGAGCAACCAGTGAGGGAGTTTCTAGACATGTTTGGGGGGATATTAAGCCATCCAGAGTATTGAGTACTCGGCTAGGAGTGAAGAGAGAGAAGAATGCTGAAAGTAAGTGAGGGCGGACTGTGAAGTCTTCTGTGGTGTGTTAAGGTGTTTGGACTTTATTACTCTATTGGCAATAAGGAACCATTAAGAATTTTTAAGCAAGGATGACACGGTCCGATTTGGGTTTTAGGTTGAAGTTTTCCTGTGGCAGATGTATTGGCAGAAAGAGACTAGCATCAGGGAGACTAGTTTCAAGGCAGCTGCACTCATCTGAAAGGAGAGAGAAGATGGGGGTATTGGGGCAGCAAGTAGGGACAGGTATGAAGAAGAGAGTCTTCATCTAAGAGACACTTGCAGAACCAGCAGGAGGTGGTCTAGGGTGTAAAGAAGCGAAGAATTGTTGCAAGTTACAGATGCTTCTGTCCCAGACCAGGGAGTCATGAAAAGAGCAGTTGGAGGAAAGAAGGACTGAATATCGCTCGGGACACGTGGCCTTGATACACAGTTCAACCCTAATCATATTCCTCTGGTGCTGAAACTCTGAGGTGAGGGCAGGTACTATGCTTTATGTTCCTTGGGTCACACAGGTGTGCCTTTCATGAGCACTTCGGGGTAGACACAGAGCAGATGAGGCTGTGATACTCACCTGTTTAGAGAGTAGGCTTTGAGGTGTCAGGGTGATTAAAGTAGAAACAAGAAACTGATACATTTGGGTGCTAGAGGTTTGGGTATGGGGATAAGTCTTTCCTTTTTATTAATATTGTGTCAGTTCTTAACGCTGCAAAACAGATGATAAATTTAGTGTCCTGTTTGCAGTTATTACCTGATCGTTTCTGTGGGTTGGGGAGTTCAGGCCTGGTTTACCTGGTTTTTCTGCTTCAGAGTATCACTAAACTGTAATCTCATCCTTGGCTGGGGCTGGGGTCTCACCAGAGGCTCAAGTGGGGGAGAACCTGCTCCAGAGCTCATGCAGATCGTTAGCAGAACCCTTAGAATTATAGGCCGGAGGCTGCCCTCAGCTCCTGGCGGCTTCCTGGTCATGTGGTTTTCTGTTTCTTGGGAGCTTGGAATGGTACCAGCAGGGAGGAAAAGAAACTCAGGAGGAAGTCTGCCAGCAAGGCGGATTCTTCAGACATCATGTAATCACATTGCATCTCTGTGTCACCTTTTACTGTTTGGAAGCCAATCGCAAGCCCCACCCACACTCAAGGAGAGGGAATTATAGAAGGACTTGGATACCAGTGGGTTATTGGTTTCTCTCAATAATCCAATATGGACCTATTACTATTTGATTCACTGAAATGCTTTTCAGCTTGTACTACCCCTTAGGGTAATAATATGTTATGAGTTTCATAAGGAGGTACTTAGTATTTATCCAAACATACTTCTTTCAGGGTCCTAGTATGTGTCTGATAAATAAGTATAGGTTTTCCATGTCTATTTCTGTCATAATTTTAAAGACAGAGCATAGCCTTTTTTCCCTTAAAAATAATTATAAAGAATATACACGCTCATTGTAAAAATTCAACCAAAGCAGGAAAGTGTAAATAAGAAAAGCCTAAATCCGTGTCTCATAGGTAAAATTTCTGTACATGTAGATGTGATAACAGTAGGTGTGTTTGTGTGTAGGTGTGTGTATACTTTTGTATAAATGGAAACGCTGTACCTTGTGTGATCTGCTTTTTTCACCTCAACGACATACACAAGGACTATGTCGCAGATGCCTCCTCGGGCGGTACATGTGACTCCATCGTCATTAGAGGATGCTTGGTGTTCCACTCCGTCAGCGCTGATACGTTCCCCTGTGCTTTGCCGTTCCCACGTGAAAGGGACACACACATTTTCCTTTCTTCATTTGATAGCTTCCTCTGACCTTTGATAATTGTGCCTGCCATTCCTTCTCCCTCTGAAATCAAGTTTCTTGAGAAATGAAATGTTTGTCTTTCCTGGAACTGTGACTACTGTGGGAAGCAATTTTTTACTTACTTACTTTGTCTCCCTTACTTTGGGGTGGTCACAGATTGTCCTGGTGTTCAGTCTGGCTCTCTTTTTCAGGAGGGAGGGAGGGGCCCAGAGCATCTGGCCTTTTGAAAGGTCAGCATGAGATCAGGACTCGACAACCATCGTCATTCTTCTGTCTGCAGAGGCCTCAGGTCACACTCGTCAGCGCTTGGGCAGCCTGGGCAGCAGGAAGAGAAAACGTGAGGGTTCTAAAAGTTAAAAAAAAAAAGACAGCAAAAACAAGCACTGAAAAGAGAAAATAAAAAGGAACATATGGTAGAAACTTCTAGAATGCCTCCTGGGGGTTTTCAAGATCCAAAATCAGCCTCTGCCCAGTTCTCTGCCATGGACCTAGGCTTGGTGTAGTAACTGGAAGACTCACTTGGAGAACACTTTTGCCCTGATATCACAGGGCAAATCACATTACAGTGAACTCTTCCTTTCCTTCTATGGTGTCAATAAACTGTCCTGTTCTTTAATGGTAACAGATGTTTGAACTAAGTGTGCCATGAGCTTGGACCAGAAGCCTCTCTTAAACTAAATGTGTGTCATTGTGATCATTGCTTTTAAAATGCCTTGTGGTGCATCTCAAAAAGATGCCAATGTGGCTCCTGCCACATACCAGCAGTGAATTCAGTTCCCCACCAGGTGAGTCAGGTTCCAGCCTAACCCCATGTGCGCTGAGGAGCTGCTGCGTTCACAGTGAGGGGGGTGGGCCCATGTGCCTTCACACAGCACCGCAGGGAGCCGCCCTCTGATCTGCATGCACTTTGGTGTCTGTTGCCCGTCTCCTCCCCTTTCAGTTCTTCACTCGTGTGGTCTCTGACCTCCCTCTTCACTTGCCCCTCCCTCTTCACTTGTCCCTCCCGCCCTCATTATCTTCCTTTTTCTCCTCCCTGGTGAACCTCACTCAGACATGCAGGGTCTCAGTTGGTTTGTTAATCTCTGTCCAGTGTAGAGATTCCTTAAATGGCAGTCTTGGGTTCAGGCTCTGGTCCAGTGCTTTGGAGCCAGGGGAACTCGTTTCGTTGGAAATACATATTTGGTATTCTCAGAGGGAGCAGTAGGGGGCAGTATGAGTGTCAGAGGCTTTTCACACTCAAGGCCTATCTAGTTACTTCAATAATTATTTTGGTGCACTTCCTTATTGCAACTTTTTTTTCTAAGAGGATACATAGAAAAATACTCTGAAAATTTTAACACTATGTAATTTGAAGATGTTTTATGAAAAAAGTTGTCTTATTAAAACCATTGAGTAAAATAAAGCCTGTCTTTCTTGCTTCTGGAATCATATAGAAAAATATTAAAAAACCAAGTTTATGGTGGTAAAGTAAAACTCTAAATTCATTTTACTGCTTTCTATGTTAAGTTGTTATGTATGTTTCCAGTAGCTTTGTACAGATCTTTGTTTTCTGAAAAATTCCCAATTTCATTTTCCTCCTCCACTGCAAGGGAGAATTACTAAGATCTTCATCACACACCTTCATGGAGACCACTTCTTTGGCCTCCCTGGCCTGCTCTGCACAATCAGCCTGCAGAGTGGCTCCACAGTCACCAGACAGCCCATCGAAATCTACGGCCCCGTGGGGCTGCGGGACTTCATCTGGCGGACCATGGAACTGTCCCACACGGAGCTGGTCTTCCCTTACGTGGTCCACGAGCTGGTGCCTACGGCGGATCAGTGTCCAACAGAAGAACTGAAAGACTTTGCACCCATGAGTGGCGCAGACACCTCTCCCAAGGAGGGGCAAGGAAGAACTATCTTGTTAGACTCGGAAGAAAACTCATACCTCCTGGTCGATGATGAGCAGTTTGTTGTAAAAGCATTTCGCCTCTTTCACCGAGTTCCCTCCTTTGGGTTTTCGGTCGTGGAGAAGAAGCGCCCAGGTAAACTCAATGCACAGAAACTGAAAGACCTCGGTAAGTGTTGTTTTCTCTTCTCATCAATCAAGCTGTGGTTAACTGAAGCTCTTACAAGGGTCATAGTAACCTTCCTATCCTGTCTCCCAGGCCTAAAACTGACAGTTTCTCCACTTACTTCTTTTGCCCAAAGTTTGCTTATTGAGGGAAGTTCCTGGGAGCGAAAGATGCTATTAAAGCAAAACCCGAGCATATGTTTGAAGCCTCCTCCCTGCAGCTCCCCTGGTGCACATTCTTAGTCTGTCCTATCGTCAGCGTACACTCTTGTTGGACAGGGTAGTGCTTGTTGCCTTAGGTCTAGGCTTTTATTTTTCCATGTCTTCCTCCTGACATACGTTTTTAGTAACATCTTTAGCCTGAGAATTTTTGCCATATCTTAATCTTGCAACTGCAACCAATTACTTTCAGGGTTTTCCTTCTCTACCTTAAGTTAATTTGGTGTTCAGAATTCTCTGCCTCAACCATTATGTGCCTGGGTTCACCACAGGAAGCAAGTACACAAAGGGGGGCTTCCCCTCCACCCCCCTTCCCTGCTTCATGCCTCCCCTGTGCTAGACCTTCATGGCTGGGGGCTCAGCATCTCTCTGGAAGCAGCGTCCAGCTCTGTTGTGCCTCCGGGGTCACCACCTTCCTCAGCATGGCCAGCACAAGGCCTATAAAAAGCGAGGTGGTGTCTTTTGTACGGTTGTTTCTTGATTTACTCAACCTCTTACTCCTTTCCCAACCAAAACAAAAGGCAAAATAATGAGGAAAAGTAACGGAGGCCAAAGGTATTACATCGATATTTCCCTGTCTTTCTCCCTTCCCCCCTCTCTTAAAGTAAATAAATGTAATCTTTAAAAAATAAATGAAAACCTGTGGGAATATTCTTATATTGAGAAACTTTAAATATGATCTATGTTGGAATCAGTAAGCACTTTCTATTTGTTTGTAGGTATTGTCCAGAGTGATAATCAGGTACTCTTCTAGATTAATACGAGACTTAAGCCCAGTTTGGTAAATGTGGACCTGCCCCTGTGCATGCAGATTGGTTACGGATGACTGCCTGAAACTCTCCCTGACCTTGTGAGCCAAACGGTCCTCTCTAACAATTTGTATTAAGTTACTCAGTTTGTAGGTCCCTTGTCATTATTTAAGTGGATTCTTACATTTTGCCCAAAGATGAGCTCATTAAATACGGTACTCTCAACAACTGTCCTGCTCACGCCCAGTGGAGCAGCAAGGCCGCTGTCTGGACTGGGACAGTGTTGTGAGACTGAGGCGCTTAAAACCCACCCGGCCCACATGCTTGGGGAGTGTTTTCGGTGCTGCAGAATTGCCAGCGTGGAGTTTTAACAATGTATAAATACTCCGGTTTTCCACAAATAGTAAAATATGTATAAAAATTATGAAACGAATTAGATGCCTTTCCACTTGCTGTTTGCTGTGCGGTTGAAACAGACTCTGTTGACAGTCACAAGTTCCGTCCCATGACGTGGTGCTGTCTGCCTCCATCACTAGGTGTTCCTCCAGGCCCTGCCTACGGGAAGCTGAAGAATGGAATTTCTGTGGTTCTGGAGAACGGAGTTACAATTTCTCCCCAAGACGTCTTAAAAAAGCCGATTGTTGGAAGGAAAATCTGCATTCTGGGTGACTGCTCTGGGGTGGTGGGCGACGGAGGAGTGAAGCTGTGCTTTGAGGCCGACCTGTTGATCCACGAGGCCACCCTGGACGACGCCCAGATGGACAAGGCCAAGGAGCACGGCCACAGCACGCCGAGGATGGCAGCAGCGTTTGCAAAGCTGTGCCAGGCAAAGAGGCTCGTTCTGACCCACTTCAGTCAGAGGTACAAACCAGTTGCCTTGGCCAGAGAAGGAGAGACAGATGGGATTATAGAACTGAAAAAGCAAGCTGAATCAGTGTTAGATCTCCAAGAAGTGACTCTAGCAGAAGATTTTATGGTGATTGGCATTCCAATCAAAAAATGAACTCGTGTTCCCAAATGCACACCGACATGTCTTCAAATATGTTACTGGACTAGCCATCAAGGTTGTTGTTGTTGTTTTAGTCTAAAATTGTTTGGGTCCCAATAATCCTAAAAAGGATGATGGAGCTTCATTGCTGAACTGACTCAGGATTGAAAAGGAGCAAGCTTTTTGATAATAAATCATTTAAAAAAGAAAAAAGTTAGCATCCTTTTTAAAGTCCAAATTTGACAAAGTGGTAGACTATTCAGGTGTGCTTATACTTTGTGTTTCGTGGCTGCTGCCTCAGATGTGCCCCGTACCATCCTGGGCTTAGCTTCTGTCCAGCTTTATTGCTGTTATTGGCAGAGTGCTCCGGGCTCGGCCCTCTTGGCTAAAAATGGTATTTTGGCAGTTTGTGTTGAATCTGTTCGTGTTATTAACAGAATAGAGAGAAGTGTAATGAGACATTGGACATGCACGATTGAAGCCAGCATGTTAAATCTTGCATTCTTTGCCTGAATACTGACTGTGGGGTCCAGCTATACATTTATCCTTTAATTAATGTGTTATTGAACTTTCTGGTTCGCTTCAAACCTGTGGTTCTCAGCTGAGGGTGATTCCATCCCCATAGCTGGTGTTCTGAAATTATGACGATAGCTTGCTTCAGCAGCACATTTATGAAAATTGGAGTGATACAGAGATTAGAATGGCCCCTGCCTAAGAGTGACGTGTAAAATAATGAAGCAGTCCATATTTTTATAAAAAGAAAAAGGAAAAAAAATTGTGGGGATGTTTCTTGCCAAAATGACTGGGAGGTAGGGGGAGAGCATTGCTGGTATTTACTCGGTCACTAGGAGCCATGGATGCTAGACCCTGTAGGGTTTGGGTCAGCCTTCTACCGCGATGAAGAATTGTCTCTCCCCAGAGTACAAACGGCAGGCCTGTTGAGATACATAGCAAGTTAAAACCTATACCCCCGGTGTGAATATACTTTATCAAAGTCTCTGACATAATGAGTCGAACTACTAGGTAAATCGAATTCTACAACAAACCCTAGAGAACGAGTGAAGTGAATGTGTTAGAACTGGAGTGTCACATGGGTTGGCAATGTGACAACCTTTTAAAGAATACAAAGGTTATCTTTGATTGATATCGAATATTATTTGAGAGAAATAAGCCATGAGCTGGAGCTTACGAATCTGGAGGTAAAGAAAGGCTATTTATTCAACAGAGTTTAATTTACATGCTCCTATTAATAATTCTTTGAGCACAGTTTTAATAAATGTTCTTTCTAGAGTAGCTTTTCCTTCTAAGCTGCCTACTTCCTCCCTTCTCCCCTGGGGTATTGGGGACTCATTTGCCCCCCAATAGTTCTCAAAGCGGGTAACATGGAAAGAGTCTCAAGTACAGATTCATTCAATAGTGTCTGCTCCTCAGACCAGTGTGGGAAACCTTTTATGCCAGGTGTTCTGTGGGAGTATCCTGGTGCTCAGTGATATATATGTAAAACAGTCATAAACCAGTCTGTTGTGCCCAAAGACCTCATTTCAGGGTCCTGTTGTGTACAGAACCACCTGTGTGGTCTGGAGCAGATTGCCTCATTCTCACCGAGTTTCTGCTTGCTCATCGCTAAAACGGGGCAAAGAAAAATAAATAAGACGGGAAAAATAATGCTACCTCACGGGCTCATTGTGAAGACTAAGACTGCGTGGTTGCGTGGCACCGAGAAGTCTGGCTCGCCCAGGCCCGTAGACTCTGCTGAGCCCCCTTCTCGGTCTTCCATCGCTGGGCACTGCGCTCCCACCGCAGGAACTTAGAGCGTCTTTAGCGCACATTTAGAAACATTGCCTGGCATATACTGTTAAATTCCTTTGAGTTCTGGGGCTTTTCTAGTAAAAAAAATTGGACTCCTGGATGATCCCGCAGTCCCTAGAGTACTGACAATCAGAACGGGTCTAGGCAGAAGACCTCAGTCGTCTGAAGCAGTCTTCACAATGGCCCGATTCTGCCCTCCTCAGGGCTGTCGGCCTGCCCAAGGACCCGAGTTTGACCAGACTGAAAGTGTAGCTTGGTGTCTGAACTCCATTCAAACAAGCATTTATTAGACACTTTGGTGCGGCCGAATCTGCACGGCAGGGAATGACGGCTAACACTAGTCCCTCCGCAGCGTGGGGCTCTCGAGGGTGAAGACTCTTAGTCTCCTCTGCATTCTTAGAAATCCCCACTCATAGCACGACTGGGCAAACTTTAGGACTTAAAGCTTAGGACCCGTGCGTCATCCATTTGTTACTGTAATTGTCCAAAACATTTTAATTACCAGGTTTGGTGCTGTCCCATTTACTGAGTAGCAGCCGAGTGCCAGGCTTTACTCTATGGGAGGAGGGAAATGAATGTAAGCTATTTCCAGGCTAAGGCTCACAGTCTAAGCGGTAGAGGCAGGTAAGTAAAAAACTGTAAATGTAAACATGTAGTTCCTGTAAAAGTTCTGTTTGTGTAGCCTGGTGCCTGGCTTTGCTGTGCCTTGAGCTGTGCTCTTGGAGTCAAGCTCCGTTAATGTATGTGGGCCATGACCTCAGAGACCAGGGAACTTAAGAATGAACGGATATGTTGGATTGAGTGGAGGACATTCACAGTTGAGATTTTTTTCTTGGACTCTCTGCTGGCCTACAATCTGTTCTTAGTGGTAGGATACACTCTTAAGAATTTGAGGAGCTAGGATTAAGAATGAAGCTTATATTGGACTTCCCAGAGCCTATAGTCTGTTTATGGTTGTGTAACTCTAAGAGAGGATTAGACTATGTATTATGCTGAAGTTTGTTCAATCACTGAATCCTCTTTTGCTAAAGAACATCTTGGAACACTGAGAAATGCTGTTCCTTAACACTTCTCAAAATGATTATATTTCTGTTTTTTACCTGCACAAGTTATTGAGGTAATGAATTTCATAGCTACACTTAGTATTTTCTTTGTCCTAAACTGACTTTAATTGTCCACAAGTACCCCCTTATTTTAGCTTAAGAAAAATATGCGCTTTCCAGTTCTCAAAAGGTGTTGAGACTTACCTAAAGAGACCCCAAATCAGTTCTGTTTTCTAATACATACGCCTCATTAAGATACTTTTAATGAACTTTTAATCATAAAAGTAGCATATGCTTGGTAGAGAATTATTTTTTAAAGATTCAAAAGAGGAAGACAATTACTCACAATTCCACTACCCAGAGAGCTACTCCTTCTGATCCGGTGGTCCTCAAACTGAAGCGTGAGTCAGTGTTACTCCAAGGGGTATGTAGGTGGACAAGGACGCGGAAGCAGAAAGAGAAGCTCTCCTGGTTTCTGGCTCACGCTCAGCAGCGTGAGAGGCCTGTCTCGTCACTCCATCAATGGGTGACACAGAGTATCCTCAACGAATGACCTTACATGTCTCTCCCAAGACGCTGTCTTACAAACATTATTTTTGCCTCCTAGGACAAGTAACCTCATTACATCTCTCAACTAGCACACACAATTCAACTAAGATTTTCTTGAATATTCTTATGCCAGCTTAAAAATTTAGTAGTTTTTACCCAAAGGGGTAAAAATCCATACTGCTACAAATACATTCATGGCAGATGTGCAGCGGAGGTAGTTTTGTCTTCATCAAGGTGTACATTTATAGTGAAATGTACTGGTTCTGGCCTTCCTGATTGATGGGTTTTTCAGGTATGAGTCGGTGTATTTTTTCTTATATGGGAAGAATGAAAAGGAAATGCTGGCAATGCTTTGATTGTTTGCTGTTTGCAGGATAAGAAATGAGTTAAGGGGAATGGGGTGGGACATGGGATAAAATCAAGAAATTCTTTTCTTCCACAGTAGGAAGTGAACAATATTTAGAACTGGAAAATAAATAGCACTTGAAGCACATTATGTCAAAGGTCAGGCAGGTGTAAACACCAGATGAATAGTTAAGAGTGCAGGAAGGAATCCTTAGTGAAAGGTACAAGGGGTAGAGGGAGGAATAGAGGAATACTATTTTTTTAAGTCCAGTAGTACTAGCACGGTGTGATAGTTTGATAGTTTTACTATGTTTGATAGTTTTATGCGTGTTTGTATTCAAGTAGTTTAAAAATTACCATAAAACACACATCAGTAAGACACTACTACTCTGAATAATCATATTGATGGCTGGTCTCCAGTTTTTTCAGAATGTAAATCCGAGCCTAGCACCCACCCCCACCTCCTCTTGAAGCTTTTTAATGCTCAGCCTTCCCAGACTCATCTTTGCCCGCAGTGCCGCTCATTTGCACAGCCCCAGCCCCGCGGGCCTCCTCTTAGTCTGCCAGAGGTTTCTGTCGGTGTGCAGCGTTGGCATGCGCTGCTCCCTCTGCTCCCTGGACCTGGAATACTCTTCCTCCCCCCAGGTTGACCCCCACTGGGCCTTAGGACCACAGCTCTGCAGTCACGTCCTCCTGGGAGCCCTCAGAGTCTTCACCTCTCGGTTGCATATTCCTCTCCCAGCACCCGCACCCCCCCTTCCTGGCACGTGTCATTTTATATTTTCATTTTGCTTGTGTGACCTTTTGATTTATGTGTCTCTTTCCCACTAGAACTGTAAGCTTCACAAGAACAGAACTGTGTCTGATTTGTTTTCCTTGGTGCCCTGGCTCCTAGCTCAGTGCCTGGAACATATTAGACACTCAATAAATAGTGGGGACTGGTTCAATTTTCCTTGACATCTTTTATTTTATTAAGATGCAACACCTCGTTCTCCTAGACATTTTTTTCCCAATTAATATTAAAAACAAACAAAAAAACCCCAGCCTCTGAACTAAAATTGGGGAGAAAGAAATTGGTTACCTGTGACCTTAATGAGACAAATCCTTAAAAAAATTCTAAGTGTAAAGCTTTAGCGCGGTGTCCTAAGATGCGAGGACAGTTATCCAGAATCAGGGAAAGGGCTAGAAAAGGAGTTTCTCTCCCTGAGAGACTAGGATGCTGGCTTTGGCTACGCATAGGATGTTGGAGCCAGAGGGAGGCCAAGCCTGGTGTGGGAGTCCGGAGTCCCCATACAGGGCAGGGGAATGGTGGGAGAATCCGATACTAATTTTACCATGGCTGCATTGTTTTTGAAGTAAATCCTTCTATTTCCCCCAAACTTTCTTTGAAGTCAGCTGGACGTGTAGCATTTGGGGATCCCTTCCCAACCCTGAACATCACCAAACAAGCGCTGATTCCATAACTGGGTTGGAATCAGGGAAAAGGGGCAGCAGGAGGGAGGGGGAGACTATTTAGAACTAAGACAATTCACAGGAACAAGAGTCAGAAGGAACCACAAGACTTAAGCCTCCTAGGGATCTTAGAAAAGTGAAAGGAGGGCACTGATCTTTATAAGTAACGCATAGAATGGGGATGCAGGAGAGGGTGTGAGCCAGCTTCGTATACATCTGAGAGGACAGAGTACCTCCAGATGACCTGTGGACCCAGATATTTCTGTGTCCTGATGGACATTCGAAGGATTAAAAAGCTTTGTGTCCAGGATAACAAGGAAGCTGAGGAGGGTTCTTAAATTTATCCAGAGTAAGAAGGAAAAAAATATTTCCACACCTAAATAAAGCTAGCAGAGAAACAAGGTCGCTCAGGTGTCAGCATGCTAATTATACGCCCAGCAGACTTGGCAGGTACAAAGATTAAATTCACCCACAAAAAAGTGAAAGGGGAAAGGCAAGGAAGGGATCAAGTTTCCCAGCTAATAAACCGCCCTGTAACTTGCAGAAAGTGTTCAGCCTCAGGTAGAGTGCTAAGCAACATTTAATTCAGTGTCACCAATTGGAAACCAGGGTTTTCTGTCTCGGTGTTTCTCTGACGTGGTTGTGCCCTTTGGAGGTCATAGGCTTGCCCAAGGGAGACCATTATCTCTGTCAGACCTCCCGGACTGGAGTTGGCCTTGTAGAAATACCCATGCCTGGGTAAGCAGCCAGCACACCGGTCCTCACTGGCTCAACAAGGGCCTCGTGATGGAGCATCTTCACCTGGCTAGAGGATGCTGGGACCCGATCGATTTCCTCCCCCATATGCCTTTACTGGAAGGCAGTATAATCTACTGCAGTGGTCTTCAAACTAGGACATTTGTACCCGTGGGGACGAGCAAAGGTTTTTCTAGATACTTTCATATGAAATATTTCCTAAAAGCCGACCTTCCTGAGAGTGAGCACAGTCAAAGTGTCTTGCTAGTTCCATGGCACGATGCCCCAGAATGACAAACATTTGGGAGGCCAAAGAAGGGGGTAATTAAAATACTGGTATTGGGATCAAAATATAAGTTATTGGATAAATTCTTTTGCAAGTTGGGTAGTTGCCAATTTGCTGCTTTGAACAAAATTGAAGGAGGATCTAATCAATTCCAGATCAAGGAGTATCTCATCTGTCCAGTGATAGATCTTTTAAAAATCTTTCTGAGATAGGATTCACATGCCATACATTCAATGGGTTTTCATATTTTCACAGAGTTGTGCACTCATCACCGCTATTAATTTTAGAACATTTTCATTACCCCATAAAGAAACCCCATATCCCTCAGAGAAACTCCCACTTTCCTCCCAAGCTCCCCAACCCTAAGCTATTTATTTTCTAACCACTAATTTGCTTTTCATCTCTATAGATTTTGCCTATTCTGGTTATTTTGTATAAGTGGAATCATACAGTAGATGGTTCTTTGTGACTTGCTTCTTTCACTGCCCACAATGCTTTCAAGATGTATCCAAGTTGTAGCTTATATCAGTACTTCATTCCTTTTTATAGCGAAATATTCCATTGTATGGATATGCCATGTTTTATCTATTCATCAGTCAATCCAATGATAGATTATTTACAATACACCTATATTAAAAATGAAAAAGGAGAGATTGCTACAGATCTTATAAATATTAATAAGGTAAAAGAAGATAGTAGAAGTACCTTTAATTTTAGATAAAACTACTAAAACAGCTTCCTTTTTAAAATGCACATAATTTACCAGAATTGACATAAGAAAAAAATTGATGACTTCAGATTTTCAATTTACTAAGGAAAGTGAAATTGTGATTAAAACTCTTCTAAAAAGAAAGAAAGAAACTCACCAAAAAACATCTCCAGGCCCAGATGGCTTTGCTAGTAACTCATTCCAAATGATTTAGGAAGAAATACACCTCTATTCCACAAACTCTTCCAGAAAACAAAAAAAGAGGGAAACTTCCCAACTCATTTTATGAGGTCAGTATAACCTGGATGCCAAAACTTAAGGATGTTGAAAGAAAGGAAAATTACAGACTAGTTTCTCTCATATAAAACCTAAAGAGAGTAATTAGCTAATTGAAGCTAGTAATGTATAAAAAGTGAGACATCTTGGTGAAAGGATTTTATTCCAGGAATGGAAGTTTTGTTTAACATTTGAAAGTCAGTATTACTTGCTACATTAACAAAATTAATGGGGGAAAAGTGGTAAAATGATATTTATAGGTACATTTTTTGGTACAATTTATTGCTCAATTATAAGAACTCTTGCATATTGTCCTGGCTGGTGTGGCTCAGTGGATTGAGTGCCAGCCTGCAAACCAAAGGGTCATCGGTTCAGTCTCCAGTTGATTCACATACCTTGGTTGCAAGCCAGGTACCCAGTAAGGGGTGGACAAGAGGCAACCACACACTGATGTTTCTCTCCCTCTCTCCCTTCCTTCCCCTCTTGCTAAAAATAAATAAAATTTTAAAAAATTAATTAAAAAACAAAAGAGCTCTTGCATATTAAGAACAGGAGGACCCTGGCTGGGTAGCTCAGTTAGTCAGAGCATTGTCCCAATACACAGATTGTGGGTTTGACCCTCAGGGCACATACAAGAATCAACCAATGAATGCATAAATAAGTAGAACAACAAATGTTTCTCTAAAAATCAATCAATATATAGTTTTTAAAAACAGGAGGGAATGTCCTTAATCTGATAAATATTATCCCCCTAAAATACAGTAAATATCACACATATTTAGTAACAAAATATCAGAAGTTTCCCCCTGGGATGAGAAACAGACAAGGAAGCCCACTGAGTACCACTTCTGTACAGCATTGCTTGGGACATCTTGGCCAGTCTAATACGGCAAGAAAAATTTATGAAAGGTATAAGGGTTTAAAAAGAAATAAAACTGTCATTAGTGGATGATATGACTGTGTACATGGAAAATCCAAAAGATTAAGCAGAGAACCTGTTACGATTAAGAAGTGAATTTAAAGCCCTGGCTGGTGTAGCTTAGTGGATTGAGCGCGGGCCTGCGAACCAGACAATCACGGTTCGATTCCCAGTCAGGGCACATACCCGGGTTGCAGGCCAGTTCCCAGCAGGGGATGCATGAAAGGCAACCATACATTGATGTTTCTCTCCCTCTCTCCTTCCCTTCCCCTCTAAAGATAAATAAATAAAATCTTTAAAAAAAAAAAGTGAATTTAGCAAGGTTGCTGGATATTCAATTAGAATAAAAAAATCAATTTTGTTTCCATATTGCAACAAAAACACTGAAAAATTTTAAATGACACCATTCACAGGAACACTGAAACCATCAAAAATTTAGGAATAAATCTAAAGAAAAGTATATAAAACCTCCATATTGAAAACTATAAAATATTGATATATATTACATAAGCCTCAAATACATTGACCAGTACACCAGGTTAATAAATTTGGAAGATTTAGTATTGGAAATATGTCATTTATTCCTAAATTTACCTGTAGTTTCAATTTCAATCTCAATCAACAGTTCTCCAGGTTTTTATGTGGGTAGATTTGAGGATATTGATAAGCTGTTTGTAAAGTTTACATGGGTGTACAAAGGGCCAAGAATAGCCAGGAAAACCTTGACAGAACAGAGTCAGAAGACTTCACTGCCAGACACCAAGACTTTTTGTAGAACTGCAGTCACTAAGACAATGTGATATTCTTGTAAGGAATACACAAGGGGGTAGAATAAAGTACAGGAAAAAATAAACCCACACATATATAATATTTTATTTATGACAAATATGAAATTCCTGTGCAACAGGGAAATGACTATTCTTTAAATAAATGGAGGGTCAATCAGATGTCCATAATGAAAAATAACTAGCTTGGTTCCTACCTTTATACACAAAAATCAACTTCAGATGGATTTTATATGTAAATGTAAAGATAACATAGAAAAATTCCTTGATTTGGGGTAAGGGCAGATTTTTTAAACAGAATAGAAGCACTAACAATAAAGGAAAAAACTGTTAAATTGAACATTAAATTTAGGAACTTTTATTCATAAGAAATACTGTCACTAGAGTGAATAGGCAAGCCACAGAATGGTAGAACATAGTTGCAATGTGGATAAAGGATATGGATCTAGAATTCAGCCATAGTTACCTGTTGCTGCATAACAAATTACCATAAAATATGGTGATTTATTATCTCGCAGCTTTGTTAGGTCAGGACTCTGGACACAGCTTAGCTGGGTGATTCCAGCTGTAGACCTCTCATGAGGTTTTGGTTGAGCTGCCAGCTAGAGCTGTGAGTTCATCTAAAGACTCAGCTGAAGGGATCCCCTTCCAGGCTTTCTCATGTTATTGTTGGCAGACCTTGGTCCCTTGCCACATGGGCCTCTCCATGGGGCTGCCTCATAACATGGCAGCTGGAGCCCCTAGGACAAGCAAGAGAAAGTGAGCACTCACAACAAAAGCCACAGTCTTTCTATAACTGAACCTTGAAAGTGCCATCCCATGGCTTCTTCTACATTCTATTCATTAGCAGTGAATCAGTAAGTCCAGCTCACATTCAAGGGAACACACAAGGGCATAAACACCAGGAGGCGGGGCGATTGCGGGGCCATCTCAGACACTGTCTACCTTAAGAATACATTTTCAAAAACCCTTAAACGTCTTCATCTTGGTGGGGGTTGTATGGGTATGTTCACAATCTGGAAATAACCAAATATTCAGTTGTGATTTGAGTTATATGTGTACATCAATGAGAAGTTGATTTCACAACATTTTAAAGTTATAGTTCAATGATATCTCAAAGCTGGAGGAAAATGAGAATATTTTTGATGAAAAATTATAGATAGAATTCTAAAGATTCTGATTTCCTAGTTATTCATTCAAGCACCAATCTAGATACTGCTGTGAGTGGATGTCCCAAATATAATTAAAGCTCCGAGTCATATCTTGACCTTAAGATATGGAAATGATCTGGGTGGACCTGACCAATAGGGGTGCGGTTTGAAAGCACAGAATTTTCTCTGGCCAGCAGTAGAAAGGTAAGTAAGAAAGGTTTGAAGCATGAAAAAAGTTGTCAGTCCATTGCTGGCTTTGAAGAGGGAAAGGGTCCCATTCAGGGACCTGAGGGTGGCCTCTAGTTGCAGAGAGAGGTGCCCAGCCAACGGCTAGCTAGAAAGTAGGTACTTCAGTCCTACAGCTACCAGGAACTACATTCTGCCAAGAACATGCATGAAGCACATTCCGACCCAGAGCTTCCAGGTAAGAGACCAACCCTTGTAAAGTGTGAGCCTCTCAGCAGAAAACTCTTCTGATTTCTTTTTAAGTAATTTACCAGACATGCTTATTACATAGAAAGGCTTCCAAATTTCAGCCTGGTTCTACTACCGTACTTAGAACTCTAAAACACCTGCAATTTCCTTGAAGAGCAGCGGTCCAGGCA